CCCCAAAACCCCAAAACCCCTCTTTAACATAATTAAAAAATTTTGAATTTAAGTTTTAAAAAGCGCAAATAAATAAAATGGATCAAAACATAAACAGTCCGGGTAAAGTTCTTAATACTCGCAATTTTCAAGAAAATGAACTGGGAAAAGTTTCTTAAACTCACATGTCCACTACTCTAAAGGACATCAAACAGAATTATTAGGCTATGGAATCTCAGATAGTTGAAATGACTAAAAAGCAGAGATAAGATCAATTAGATAAGCACAAGACTGTATTGGCCTAAATTGATGCGCTAAAGCAATTCCTCAAGAGTGAGGTTGCCAACCGAAAAGAGACAGAATAGCATTTTAACTAGACTATTGAGGCAAGAGTTGCATAGATAACTGAGTAATTCAATATCACTTATCTCAACCAACTATATGAAATGAAAGACTAAATTGGGAAATTTGAAACCAGACAATAGAGAATGGAAATGAAGTCTAAAGAAATCAAGCATCTGATAGACACTCAGCTGCAGAAATAAAAGTCTGAATTAATAAATAAAGTTAAGACATAGCAGTAATTATATTACTAGTATCATTTATCTATAGATAAGAATTCCACTAGGCTTATGAAACTTAAAAAGATAATGACACTAAGGAGTTGAAATACATTGGAGAGTTAGAGTATAATTTTGATAATATGCTGAGTCTCATTCAAACCTAGAGACACTCTGAATTTTTGGAATTGCAGTCCCTTATTGATTAAAACATTAATGATACCTAAGTGTACTAGAACTAAGAGAAGACTAGAAAAATTCTGTTTTCAGAGATTAATAACCTCAAAACAAGTAAATTCTTTTTAAGGTGACTTAAATTCGTAATTTATAGAATGCAAACTTGAAATTGACAGTAGAAGACAGGCTGACGAGGATATAAGTGAGGCTTTGGATAAGTATCATGAGATTATTTCTAAAGAGGTTGAAAATAAGAGGTAGGAGATCAGACAAAAGAATCAATGAAATTGTTTAAGATTATAGTTAATGAGTTATTTGATTATTGTAAATTATTTGCCAAAATATAACTAATGCTCAAGATCAATGATTATCACGATTGAAATATATTAAATTTCCTTTATCACTCAAGTGACTTATTTCCTGCTTGTTCTTCGATTGCTTCGATTTAAGAGTAGATTTGGTTTACAGCATTTATCTTTTCATAATCTTTTTAGGGTTAAATGGGTTGCACCAATTCTTAATCTTCATTTTTCTCTGAATCATGAATTCGATCGATACTTTGTGGTGAATCTTCAACATGTTTACTCAGTATAGCATCAGCTCCAGCAAGTGCCTCTGTTTACTATTTCAAAGCAGCTTGTCTCTTAGAGACATACTGAATTCCAGGATGCTTGAGTTTGATATGCTAATTCAGAGAGCCATCTGAGCCATATGTCTTATTACAATTGGCTACTGGGCACTTGAAAAGTCTCTGGATTTGCATTGCGGGTCTTCTGTTTCTTCTCACAAGCTTATACAAATTATCGTTCAATTTGTCTTGTGTGTTCTCTTTTCCATCATTATTAGTGCAGTTATTTGATGATTAGTTGATGTTTGAAATGTCTTAAGACTATTCAATCCATCCATTACTAGACTGGTTAGAATTAGTCTTGCATATCTTTTCAATTTATTCAATTTTCAGCAAGATCTCATCTTTTTACTGCTCCTCTTGAATGATCTGTGACTCAACTTTTTGTATCTAGTCTCTAAGCTGTAATATCTTGAGTTGATAATTATTGTTAGTTCTATGATGTGGGAACAAATTTAGTCTTTGCTTTGAGTTGAAAATATCTTAAAACTGTTGTTCTATTAACTAGTTAAACTGCTTCTATAATAATAATTAAGAAAACTAAATTGGAACTTACTTTATTTTATTTGTGCAAATCCTAAAATTTATTCTCATTAATCTGATTATTTTTAATTTAGTTATCATATCTCTCATTTTATTACTAATTTTAAAGGTCCGATTACTTATTTTATTTTGAGATTATTTATTATTCCATTGATCTAAGCATATTTAGCATCTTCTCTCTAAATTTCTTAAACTTCACCATTTCCTCACCTCCTTGGGATTCAGAGTTCAAAGAAGAACTGGGAGATGACTTCATGATCTTAGCTCTCTCGCTCATCTATTTTTTGAGGTTGGTAAGGGCTTTTACTGCCAATTTTTCGTCGTTTTACTCATCATCTTAGCTAGTATTAAAATCTTGAGGAGAACAGTTTGAGAATGAATCTTAGTTTTAAGATGTTTCCATCAATTCGCTTAAGATTTCTTGATTTTTCTAAAGCAAAAATTGCCTCACCTGCTGTTACTGTTGACTGGGTAATATTGAATTTGAGGACATTGTACTCATCGTGATGCTTTTTTGATTTATTTCTGAAGTTTTCTTGTCAGAGAGAAGCCATGATTAAGGCATCTTATTCTCAACACTCAAGAAAAGTTTTTCTTTGTCAATGCTGTTGCAAAGTGAGGTTGTGTTAGATAATCTTGCGATAGGTTTGTGCAAGGGGTTGAATGAGAATGGATTTATACTAATTATTGGAGAACCTTAAATAAACTTATCAGCCTGAATAAAATCCTTTTTAAAATTAAGATGGGTGGTCCTATTTTATGTACCGATCTAATTATCGCTAATGATATCAGAGTTTGGTGCCTTAAAAATATTCAGAAACTGACTTATATGCTGAGGATTGGGAGAAGTTAGAGTTCTAAGCAAGTTATGATGGTAGTTGTACTAGTTTTACTGCTAAATTGGGCTTAAGTTCACTTTATCGTTGGTTAACATTTTTACTTTAAGCTTGATGATAAATTAAAGTATTGTGTGAGTTAAATAATTTAAATTTTATTAATAAATTTTTAAATCTCTTCGAGCTGGTCTTAATTTATTTTGCTTCATTCATTTTCTTATTTATTAATCTACTTGTAATTTTAGCTAATGGGGTTTTGGGGTTTTGGGGAGATCG